AGGGAGGCGGCGCCGCGCCACTGGCACCGCCTCCCGCGCCGCGCAGCGCCGAGCACCGGCCCCTCCGCGGGGTGCCAGCCGGGGACCCTCCTGCCCTGCATCCTGCCCCTGGCACCGGGGGCGCCTCCAGCCGCTCCTGGGGGGGCACGGGGGCTGGGGGTGCCCTCCTGCCCTGCATCCTCCCCCTGGCATCAGGGGCAGCTGGAGGGGGGCAGCACCCACTGCTACACAGGGTAGGGGGGAAGGGTTCAGGGGGTGTCTGCACCCCTCCTCTGGGTGCCAGCCACTCTTCGGGGGCTGGGGGAGCTGCAGGGACTGTGGGTGCCATCCTGCCCTGCATCCTCCCCCTGGCACGGGGGGGCAGCTGGGAGCCCTGCACCGGCCCCCCCTGGGCAGCCTGCCCCCTTACCCTGCATTCACCTGCAGGCAGCAGGCGGGGCAAGGGCTGCCTTGGCTCTTTGGCAGTGGTGGCCTTAGGGTTGTTGAGGCCCTGGGCAAGAGAATTATTTGGGGTTCTTTAGAGGCTTAATTTTGATGACCTGTAAGCAAGTTGGACATTTGTTGCAAAATTTTGGGGCCTTCTAAAGTGAGGGGTCCCAGGCGGTCATCTGGTTTACCCTCCCCTAAGGCCGCCACTGTCTCTGGTGCCTGGTGCCTGGTGCCCGGTGCCCCTCCAATAAAATGCCACTGCCAGCCATGTGAAAGAACTCCAGGGCTTTGGGGGCCAGAGGATGTCCTGCCGGACACACTGGCCCAATCCTGCCTGGCTGCCGGAGGTCTCCTTGGGGTGCAGAGGATAGGTGTCCCTATCCCCCGGCAGCCACCTCCTTGCCAGTGCGGGTGCACAGACCTGCCGGGGAGCTGGCTGTGGTGGGGGGAGGCAGGACTATTTTTGGCAGCGTTAAAAATATCCAAGGAGGCATCTTGTAGTGTTACTCATCTGCAGGGGACATGGATTTGCTCCTCCCAGATGCCTGCTGCCGTGCTGAGCTCTCTGTACATGTACAGGGGGCTGTGTACCCATTGGCCTGGCACAGCGGGGCATCCCATGTGTGCCCGTCACAGCTACTATGTACAGCGGACGGCACATGCACCAG